AGCCTCAAGAATATCATCATAGAGCATTGCCTATAAATCCCCCCTACCTCAAAAAAAGGAGCTTCTCCTGGTGTCCTTACCAACAATTCCCCAGATAAAATCAATCATTCACTTTGTGGACTTTTTGTGGGACACTGCTGTGGGCAAATTGGTTTGTCGTGTTTGCCTACAAAATACATAGTCACTACACTTTACAGCAAAAATCCTGTGAAGTGTTTTGAAATGTTTGGACCACATAAGACGACTAGCAAACCCAGGGGACTGCAGAAGACATGGTTAAGAATTCTGATTTGGATAGGGGAATAGAGGTCCAAGCAATGTATCTGATTCACAATGAGATATCGCTTTGGAATTCTGGAGGTTAGGGGAGAAGTGAGAGTAAAGAAGGCCCTTTGCCCATTTCAACAAATCCTTCCAGAACACTGATCCTATTCTTTTCCCATTACATCAACCTGTTTCTTAAATAAGCCTAGTGTCCTGTTGGCCTTGACCATCCTTCTTGGTAACCTATTCCAGTTTTTTGGTACCCTCTGTGTAATGAGATACTACACTTTCTGGTGTGTGTCCTACAATTATCCTTTAGCAATTGAAGTTATGCCATCTTGTCCCGTTGCCTTTGTCTTTATCTGAAAGTATTTGGGTTTATGTTCTCTGTCCCCTTCGGCTTGTTACATGCCTCTGTAAGATCTCCACTGAAATGACTCTTTTCAAGCCTGTCCACTGCACATAGACCTGTCTGCTCCCTCCGCTCAACAGGCTCCGGCCTGCTCCATGTCCCCTGCGCAGCCAGCCCCACCATGAGCGGTCGGGCTTTCAGCCTTTTTACCCCCACCCTTTGGAACTCCATCCCAAGTCTCTTCGCCTCACTCGCTCCCTTGCCTCTTTCAAGGCCCGTCTCAAGACCCTCCTGTTTGGTAACCCTCCTATCCCTACCCTCCTTGCCTCCACACCTCTTGATCCAACCCCCAGTTCAGGTCCAAGTCCCTGAATATCAAGCACCTTGGGATGTACTCCTGATGTGAAAGGCACTATGCAAATGTAATTTGTTGTCGTTAAAATGCCCTACATTATCTGAACATTCCTTAAAATTCACGCTTCAAACATTGGGGATCAACCTTGTCACTGTGCTCTGTATTGCCCCTCGCTTTAGCCCCTAAATGCCACAGTGCAAGGAACGATTCAAAATGGTGCATGTGTGTCCTGATCAGAGCCCTGCACAGCTTCAGCAAGATGACTCAGTTCATGAGCTAAACTCATCAGTAATGATCAGTAATGTTGCCCAGCATCCTGCTTGCTTTGTTTAGGCAAGAATGTTTCTTTACTTCACCTCCTGGGAAATCAAGACCCTGTGCTGATCTGCAATGATGCGATCACATCACCCTCTCCCAGGCTTTCTCTCGCTTTCTCTCAAAGTCGTTCACCTTCACTTTATCTGCTATTATCACGCTTTCATTTTTATAGGGAACCGCAACATATATTATAAACTATAGTTGGCACAGAGCGAGGTGAAAGGCTTTAATTTAATCTTGGATGACAACCTCCTTGTGAAGCGACTTGAATCTCCCAATTTAATTCAATCCCCATTACTCACTGCCAGACATTCCTTGCTCCACGTATAATGGCTCCAAGTCATTTTAAATAACAAAATGCCACCAAGTAAATCTTAATTTGTGTTCTTTGCACTCTATAAATAAGTGTAATTTCATCATGGGTTTGAAGTTGCGTTCATTGAAAGGAAATTTCTTTCAACGTTCTATTTTTGAAGTGAAAAAGATGCAGTTCTTAAATTCTGTGTGTGGCTCATGCTGCTTTATACAGGGCAACGCTAGTATAATATGGCCTTCATCGAATATCTCAGAGACCATGTTATAATGAATAATAGTGCAATCACAGCGCGCAGGACGTATCAGCGATGCTTCCTGTGCAAGGCACTGAGGAAATGACATCAGTGGCAACCTGACAACCCGGAAGTCAGACATTTTTTAGCCAATCAGTGCGGGAAGCTAGGTGTACTACGCTTCTGGCATCGTGTGTGTTCACAGTAGACCATACCTCAAGTGAACCCAAGCTCAACTGGGCTCATTGTAACTGGGCTGCCCTGTGCTATAGCGCAAAGCCAAAAGTCGCAAGACTTTCTGTTTTGCTTCAATCTGTTGCGTTTCTTCATTTTTTTGTAATTTGCCAGTATAGAGCAGGAGAACATTATTTTGCAAAGTTAAAGTTCCACATGAAGATAACAGTTCAATCCATCTCCATTGGAACTCCATGCACATTGCAATCTAACCTTCTCGGATTTTTTTCTGTTACTTTTAAAAATAAATTCTGTAATTTTCTTCTGATGCAATTACCATGCCTATTCTGGCTACCTTGGTCTGGTTACCTCTCTCCTTGCTGTCCAAAAACGCCTAAAGGTGAATTTCCTTCACCGTGTCTTTAGTGTCAGCTGGCTCAGTTGGCAGCACTCTCACTTCTGAGTCAGATGGCTGAGCGCTGACATTCCAATACAATTCTGGGTGTGCGCTGAATTGTTGGAGTTGCCGTGGTTCGAGTGAGACCTTAAACCTGTTCAGATGAGTGTTAAACATCCCATGGCACTAAACAAAAAGAGAAGCGGGTTTCTCTTGGGTTTCTGGCCAACAATCCCCCTGATAAAATCAATCTTTCACTTTGTGGCTGTTTGTGGGACACTGCTGTTTGCAAGTTGGTTTGTCGTGTTGGCCTACAAAATATACAGTCACTACACTTTACAATACAAATCCTGTGAAGTGCTATGAGTCGTTTTGATAACATAAGATGCTATACCAAGTGGGAGGATTAATAACTATAGTTTTTAAATCGCTAGCTTCTATGCTCACCTTTTGTAAAGTGTTTTGAGACAAAGATCTCTTAGAACATAAGAATTCGCTCGGGGAAAGAAGACCGAGGTCCATCAAGTTTGCCTTCCAGCATCCTGGCAATCACGTCATGTCCCAAACTATATACTGTATCCCGAGATATTATTTCCTATCTATCTATCTATCCAATTTATTCTTGAAAGAATTGACACTTTCTGCTTCTACCGTCTCTCTAGGGAGCCTGTTCAAATTTATTTGGAAGATTGTTGGCTAAGTCACAGGGAGAAACTCTCTTCACTTTTAGAACACAATCAATGGGATCTTTAACATCCACCTGAACAAGTGGATGGGACCTTGGATTAAGGTCTCAACCAAAGGACGGCACCTTTGACAGTGAGGCACTCCTCTAGTGCTGCACTGGAGTGTCAGCCTGGAATTTGAGCTCTGAGTCATGAAAGGGGAACTTTGAAAGGTCTCAGGGCACTTCACACAATTTGTTACTTTTGAAGTTGTTTTGAAGAAGGTGTTATATCGGCCAGCACAGGAGCATCTCTGATCTCCGCTGGCAGCATCCCACAAACAGCAATGATGAATGACCAAATTGTACCCATTTACATGTGAGCTTGGATGAGGAAAAAACTTTGGCCAGTACACTGGAGAGAACTCTGCCAAGGAATCTTGAACATCTACCAGAAGAGGACCAGCTGACCCATTGTGCATTGAGCTGCTCTGACACATAAACTGAGCTGACCTGCTTGTCTGAAAGAGAAGGTCTGTATCGAAATTTATGCGTTCATTCCTTGATTACTAAAATAAATCTTTTTCTCCACCCCCACCACGCCCCCCATCTCTCTGAGACCCCTGCTGGGAATGGAAAACATTCCCACATGGGCATCAAACGCTCACGGGACAGGCAGTGCCATGGGTTGCTGCAGACTGCTCTGTACTGCACCCTAAGAAGTACTTCACCTCACAATACCAACCCCTGCTTATACTAACATGCCTGCTTTCCTCATGTCTGACACGCTCTATTTCATGAGATTTCCAATGAGCTTCGCAAAGTGCTCAGCTGGCATAACTGCTATGTTATCGACAGAGAGAAAATCACCTGCCATGAATACTGATTGTCTTCGCAGCTCTTTAATAATAATAATAATAATAATCCTTGCATTTGATATAGCGCTTTTCACGTCGGGAGGACGTCCCAAAGCGCTTCACAGAACACACTGTAAAGTGAATTGACTGTATATTTGTGGGCGAACGCGGCAGCCAATTGCGCACAGCAATGTCCCACAAACAGTCGTAGATTGAAAATGACCAATTTATTATTGTTTTTGGTTTTGGAAGGATTATTATTAGGAGTGTGGAGTAAGGAAACTGGCCCAAGGTTTCGCCCTCTGCCGGGAATTGAATTCAGGTCTCTCACTTGCAAAGCGAGTGCTCTAACCACTGAGCTACAGGACTCCACCACCACACCTTCGCTCTCAATCTTAAATCACTCATGTTCGTTGCCATCCCCCACTCCTCATCCCTCTACGACTTCCTCAAACCTTACCGACCTGGCCGGTCCCTTCTCCTGCCTGCTTTGTGCCCCCCACCCTACCATTTGAGGGACTGAGAGACCACTGTATATTTTTGCCCACAAAATACACAGTCAATTCACTTTACTATATATTCTGTGAAATGCTTTAACACATGATGAACTGCTAATTCAAATGTAAGGATTATTATTATTATTATTATTATCATCTGCCCCCGATCTCTGGGGCTCCATCCTGGAGTCCGTCTGACTCACTCTATCCCTAACCTCATTCAAGGTTCTTCCCAAGATCTGACTCTATGACCACACTTTCAGTCATCTTTCCTCCCCCCCCACCCACCCCCCCCACTCAGGTCCCAACCTCCCCTCAGCTCGGGTGCCAAGCCATTATCATTAAGCGCCTTGGGACGTCCTCTTGACATGAAAGCCGCTATATATAAATGTAAATCTGTATAATATTGTGTTGAAATTCAGGGTTTTGGAAGTTCACCTCAGCATTAGTTAAGATTGAGCAGTAATACCTCACTTCCCTTCCCTTCCACTCTCTCCCCTGTTTCCCCCCCTCCCTCCTTCCCTCCCACCCTCCCTCCTCCATTGTTATTGACATGAACCGGGCCAGTGTGTACCTGGGTAAGGATGGATCCCGTTGGCAAAGACGGCTTCGGCTGTTGGTTGCCCATTAGCCTGGGGTGGGAGGCCAGTGAAACCATTCACTCCGATCGAAGACGGGATGCTCGGCACAGCTGGTGCCGTGATACCGGGAGGCGTGCTTCCGCCTGAAACACATACACAGCAGGTCACATCTGACAGTCACTATCTCAGTCACTATCTCACAGTCACCATCTCACAGTCACCATCCGACAGTCACTATCTCAGTCACTATCTCACAGTCACCATCTCACAGTCACCATCTCAGTCACCACCTGACAGTCAGCACCTGACAGTCATCATCTCACAGTCACCATCTCAGTCACTATCTTAGTCACTATCTCACAGTCACCATCTCATTGTCACTATCTCACAGTCACCATCTCAGTCACTATCTCACAGTCACCATCTCACTGTCACTATCTCACAGTCACCATCTCAGTCACTATCTTAGTCACTATCTCACAGTCACTATCTCAGTCACTATCTCACAGTCACCTTCTCAGTCACTATCTCAGTCACTATCTCACAGTCACCATCTCACTGTCACTATCTCACAGTCACCATCTCAGTCACCATCTCAGTCACTATCTCAGTCACTATCTCACAGTCACCACCTCACTGTCACTATCTCACAGTCACCATCTCAGTCACCATCTCAGTCACCATCTCACAGTCACTATCTCACAGTCACCATCTCACAGTCACCATCTCACAGTCGCCACCTCAGTCACTATTTCACAATCACCATCTCACTGTCACCATCTCACACCATCTCACAGTCATCATCTCACAGTCACCATCTCACAGTCAAACTGGGTGAAGCAGAACTCTTCAATGTTACCAGTGGCTGCTGGTCTGTCCTTTACAGCACAACGCAACACAATACAATACAATACAATTTTACATTTATACAGTGCTTTTAAATGTCAGGATGACATCCCAAAGGAGAAGAGACTGGGCACCCCAGCTGGGGACAGGAGCCAAGAGGAATGGGGTGGGGAAAGATGACTGAAAGAGCGGTCAAAAAGATAGGTCTTGAGCTGTAGAAAATCGCCTGAGCCAAATTCGCAACAACACAACCTGGATTTACTGCAAATACAATAACGTCTTGGAGCGCTTCACAGTGGTGGGAGTTGAAAGGGGGGTGGAGGGGGAATTACCATTCTTGTGGTTTTAAGGTGGGATTTGAAGACAGATAGAGACGGGGTGAGGTGGAGGGATAGAGGCATGGAGGCAGACAGTTCCAGAGTTGAGGGCATAATGACTGAATTGAGACTGAAATAAAGATTGAACTTAAGAATTTTTCAAATTCCTTAAAATGTTAAACAGGTCGTTCCGTCATGATAAGACGATGTATTTTTATTATTATGATTAATATTGTCGTTATTATTATACCGTAATTCTAAAGCCTTCTTCAGGCCTTGAGCAAATTTGAGCATCAAATCCACATGAGGTCTTGCTGTGACCCACAAAAGTATATGTGTTCTAGTCCACAACAAAGGCTGAGTGCCATTCCAATGGTGGGTTAAACAGCTCGTTCATAAAATATGCATGACCCCAATAGCAGGTACATCTGCAGCCCATGTTACTGCAGGATAATCTAACGGCATTGACTTGCTCCTGTAAATGTATTTGTTTTAATCTTTCTTTTTGGAAATGTTTTCCTTATTTTGTTGTTCCACCCACTCCCCCCTCCCTTCCAGCCCGTCCGAAACTCAACCCCTCCTCTCTCTTTCTCTCTCTCTTTCTCTGTCGTGATCTCTGTTGATGCTGGACTCCAGATGAGACATTAAACTGAGTTCTCATCCGCCTGATTAATAGCGACTCGAAAATCCAATGCAATGATTTCCTCAGACAATATCATTAGAAGTTACTCCTCTGGCTGGAAGGGTGGGGGGAGGGAAGGGGGGAGAGATATACTTAAAAAGAAATCTGATATTACTTTGCTGTTCACAGCAGCTTGAAGTTTTGCCAGTTTTTTTCTTTTAACCATCTGCTGATTGAGCACTCTGTCAGTCAGACGGAAAGCACCTCATTTCGATGGCACATTCACTCTTGGCTTCACGCAGGATGTTATTAAAGTCCTTTCGACTGCAGATGAGTTGGCATCAGACATGATTGCGTTAAGCACAGAGCACATCTTGCGATAATTAAGACTCGCACATGCTGTAAAAGTACGGACGCCATAGAAGCAAAAAAATAAGTACTACTTTGGAGGCATTTAAATAATGTAAGTGACAACCTAAATGCATACTTATTCATTAGCCAGCTCCACTTCATACAGGGTAATTATCTTTTTAGGTCAAACTTGTAAGAATATTTACTTTTTTTAATTGAAAAAAAATCTCCAACTATGGCTACATTTTGGACAGCGTCGTTTCTGAACATGCTGCTTAGCAAAAATTTTGTTTCTTTTTTTAACAATAAGATTAATCCTTCCATTCGAAATAGAGCCTTATCATGTCGTCGAGACGTCTCACAAAGTGTTTCACTATAAAAAGGATTGACTGTGTATTTTGTGGGCAAAGCACATCAACCAGTTTGCACAAAGAGCCATGGAGTGAATGGACCAATTTTATTTGGGGGATTCGTTGGCCAGTATTCTTTAATGTCCACCTGAACAGGCAGATGGGACCTCAGTTTAATATTTCATTGGAAGAACGGCACCTCTGACAATGCAACAGCCCCCCAGCACTAAATTGGAGTGTCAGGTTACACTATGTGGTTTCAAGTCCAGATTTAGGGATTGAACCCATGACTTTCTGGCTCAGGGACGAGAGTTCTACCATTGAGCCAGGCTGACACATGCTCACGGACATCTTATAACAATCATAATCCAATCATAATCCTTGCATCCTGATCACATTGTCGAGACACCTCAAGGTGCTTCACTGGATTTACTGTAAAGTGGAGTGGCTGTGTATTTGTGGGTAAGCATGGCAGCCAATTTGTCTATATCAATGTCCCCAAAACAGTCATGAAATGAATCATTAATATTATCTGAATGTTGTTGGTTGGGTCACTGGGAGAATTTTTTTTGAATCGTACCAATGTCTACTAATGTGTATCTAAACAGGCAGACAGGCCCTTTGTTTAACATCTCATCCGAAGGACCTCCAACAAACCCAGCACTGCACTTCAGTGTCAGCTTAGACTGAGAATTCAAAGTCCTGATACGGCGCTTGAACCCACAACTTTCTGACTCAGAGCCAAGAGTGTTACCAACTGAGCCAGGCTTTAAAAATTATCTGGTAGAGTAAACGAGGACTCCTTCCAGGGGCCAGTACATTGTGTCGACCCGTGGGATCTACTTCCAACTTCAACATGAGCTACTTCCGCAGGGGATTTTCAGCAGGTTGATGGTGTTTGACGGGAAGATGGATGGTTTTAGATGGTGAAACTCCAGCAATATCCCCACGCACAGTCTGGGATGCAGAGGTCCCAAAGCTCCTGCTAATCCTTGCCTAATATTACTGGGTTTAGGTGAGCTAGGTGCATTCTTGGGGTGTCAAAGGCAATTCCAGACACAGGAAAATTTCCATGCATGCAACAAGATTCCATTTATAAAGCGCCTTTCACATCAGGAGGAACTCGTGGAACTCACAGTTGTTTTGCTCGGATGCTCCTTAAGCAATGAGTGAAAAGCTGTGTTCTTTTTACTTTCTACGGACTAAAATGCGGATAGTTTATAAAACACTGAAGCAGCCAGCTCACACCAATAGTGGAAATCTGGAACACTCTTCCCCAAATGGCTGTGGATGCTGGATCCATTCAAATTTTCAAGACTGAGTAGATTTTTCTTAGGTATGGGATGGGTATCAAGGGATATGGGGCAAAGGTGGGTAAATGAAGTTGAGGTACAGATCAGCCATGATCTAATAGAATGGTGAAACAGGCTCCAGGGGCTGAATGGCCTACTCCTGTTCCTATGTTCCTCTTGCATTTCCCTCAGTAACCTGGTGTTATATCAGTGTTCCATTTGGATTGGAAACCACAGCACCTGATCGACTTGCAAAACTGTGACTTTCCTTTTTAACTATGAACTTTCCCCACTGCCTGGGAAAGATGGCTACCTCCCAGGGGCAAGTGTTAATGATACTTTCATGTTGATTCTATGTCCCTACGATGCTTCACTTACCTGATGTTGGGGTCATTGGGGCAGCTGCCAATCCGTTCATGTTCAAGGCTGCCATCTGTTGCATCTGTGCTGCCGCAAACGCTGCCATTGGGTTCAGGTAGCCTCCCTGGGCGACCGAGGCCATTATCGTGGCTTGCTGCTGCATCAGCTATTTGGAAAACAAAAGTGTTTCTAAATTTTTATGCAATCACTGGAAAAATCGAGTGCCTGACGCTCATTCTTTCATTGAATTCAAAGATTTATGAAATCTCGGACCCGATTTTCATTTTCTCCCGATGCCAGATCCTGCATTTAGTTGGTAAAACTCCAGCAATATCCCCAATGCACAGCCTACTAAGCTTTGCCTAATACCTTTGCCTAACACCCCTGCCTAAGCTTCAAGGCAAAACTAAATGTGACACAATTAAACCTGATGTACTCATCTTGAGCAATTGAGGATCAAAAAGCATACTGTAGTCTTCTAGATCATAGTAGTATGAAACATAACATATTACTGTAGATCAGTGTGTCATATACCATAATGTGTTGTTCTTAGTCAACTTATATTAAATAGCACGCTGGTCTAGATCAACAAAGCGCCATTGAATCAACATCTGTGGAGTCCTGTAGCTCAGTGGTTAGAGCACTCGTCTTGCAAGCGAGAGACCTGGGTTCGATTCCTGGCAGGGTGAAATCTTGGGCAAGTTTCCTTACTCCACACGCCTGATAATAATCCCTCAAAAAATAAAAATAAATAAAATAAAAATAATAAATTGGTCTGTCAATCCACGACTGTTTGTGGGACACTGCTGTGCGCAATTGGCTGCCGTGTTTTGCCCACAAATATACAGTCAATTCACTTTACAGTAAATTCTGTGAAGCACTTTGAGACATCTAGAAGACATGAAAAGTCCTATGTCAAATGCAAAGATTATTATTATAGTCTTCTAGATCACAATAGTACAACAAAGCCATAATATAACAGAAACCCAGTGCCATGGGACATCCTCCCGACGTGGAATACAAATGTAATTTTGTATTGTATTGTATACTGTTCTAGATCAACATAGAATAAAGCATAGAATACTGTTATAGATTAATATTACATCATAAAGTATAACATACTGTTAAACACACGTTATTATCAGAAATTTGTAACATTCTGATCAGTTTCACACCATAATGCATAAAATACCCTTATAGATAACATTGCACCTTGCAATATAACACACTATTTCAGCTTAATGTAGCATCATAATGTAAAACATACTGGCTTAGATTAATGTAGTTCTACAAAATATAACATACAGGTGAATGTGATACCATGAAGTAAAGAACATTGTATTAGATCAATGTGATGCAATGTCATGAAACATCAATGCAGTGTGAAGCTTCAAGGCAAAGTATATTCTATTGAATTATATCAGATTTCCTTAAATTGTTATCTGTGCGGTCACTGGAATTGCTCAATTGTTCAAGATACTGGGTTCTGTGCTCCACAATGTCTCACAGCAGATGCGTCACTGAAGCACATCATAAAATTCAGGATTATGTGTTCACAGTACCTTACCTTAGGTTGGGTAATTTACTTTCTCCCATTCATATGAAGATTATTTTTATATGTCACGTGACAGTGTAATATCTGAGGGGACTAAATAAGAGGAGTCCTGAAATTTCTCACGATCTTAGTCTTAAATACATAGTCTTAATAATAATTTTTAAAAATCTTTACATTTGATATAGTGCCTTATCACGTCATCGAGACATCTCAAAGCGCTTCACAGTATATACTGCAAAGTGGATTGACTAGATTTTGTGGGTGAAACGTGGCAGCCAGTTTGTGCACAGCGGTGTCCCACAAACAGCCATGGAGTGATCCATTTTATTTGGGGGAGTGTTGGCCAGCACACTGGGAGAAACTCCCTTCTCTTTTTGTGCGCAATTGGCTGCCGCGTTTGCCCACAAATATACAGTCAATTCACTTTACAGTGTGTTCTGTGAAGCGCTTTGGGACGTCCTCCCGACGTGAAAAGCGCTATATCAAATGCAAGGATTATTATTATTATTATTATTATTAATAGTGCTATGGGATCTTTAACATCAACCTGAACAGGCAGACGGGACCTCAGGATCCAAAGGACGACACCTCTGATAACGCAACATCCTCCCCCAGCACTGCAATGGGGTGGCTGTGATTCAAATCCCCATGTGGGGTTTGAACCCATGACCTTCTGACTCAGACGCAAGAGTGAGCCAGGCCGATAGATAAATATCTGAAAATGTAAAATATAAACGTGTGTGTGTTTGGGGGAAGTGGCAGAATGAGACTAAATGAATAGCTCTTTTGGAAAGCCACCAGCAGAGGGGCAGTGGGCAGAATAGTCTCGTTGTGAGCTGTAAATATCTACGGTTCTAACTTGGAAGGAAACCAGGTGGGTTTGAAAAGGCCACGAAGAGATGAGAAAAGGTTATGGAATAAACCAAAAAGGACGAAATGCCACAGTTCAAAGCAAGCTTTGTATCTTGTCTGACTGAGCCGAACAGAGTGGTTTCAGATCTTGTGCAGTTTATTTTCTCTGCCATTATTCCCGGGAATCAGTACAAGCAGCTGACAGGCGTAACATCTGTTTCCTTCCTCAATTACATTAACTCCCACCCGGCTTTCTATATTTTTCCCCTTAGCAAACACAATTTGGAGAAAATTGACTGAATGACAAATCACGCCACAGCTCCTTATATTTAAAAATTAGGAATGATGAAATGTGTCAGCATAAAGTTCACTCCAACGCGGGCCAGGTTTATTTAATCACTGAGTGTTTGTCATGGGCTTCAACATCAAATGTAACCGAATCATAGCAATTCAAGTGTGGAATGAATAAGCTATTTTGGTATTTTTTGTGAACGTTTGATTAGTTCTTAAAAAGCATCACAATGAGCAGATACTTACATTTTCACAGTGCCACGCATTTCAGCACTGTATAAAATAATCATTGTCATTGCGCAATAGTGCTGGGCTTACACATACTGTATTCACTTTTATAACAAGGCAGAGACGTTGTTAGAAACATGAACTCTTTGAGATGTGAATTCACATATGTTTCGCCTTTGTACCCTCCATATTTGTTGTCCTTTAACTCAGAAAGTCCCCACATCAGGACTTGATAGCCTAAGCTGACACTCCAATGCAGACCTGAGGTGGGGGTGTTGCATGGTTGGAGGTGCCGTCCTTCGGATGAGACATTAAAGCAAGCTCCCGTCTGCCTGTTCAAGGTGACCATTAAAGATCCCATGGCGCTACTCGAAATGTGAAGGGAGTTACTCCCTGTGTCTCGGGCAATAATCCTCCAGATAAAATTGGTCATTCACTTCATTGCTGTCTGTGGAGCATTCTGGAGTATAAACAACAGCATGGATTAGTTGGTGTTTCTGTTTGGCTAACACCTCAATGCAATGCTGTGGTTAAATTGGCTGCTGCGTCCTCCTACAAAATTCACAGTCACTCCACTTTACAGTAAATCCTATGAGATCTTTCAACGGTGATAAGGTGCTACATCGAACACAAGGATTATTATTATTATTCACTGCAGTCTCACTGTGAAATATAAAGAGAAGAAAAGCTGAGGAATGTGGCAGCAATGAAATGAGGTGGAATACACAGTGTAAGGCTCACTGGCTAATGTAATTGGGCTTTTGGAGTCCAAATCTCGGGTGGTTTGAAACCAAACACAAATGAAATACGGAGAAGTCATGAGAGTCACAGAATTTATAGGGGATTCTCAGAGAAATATTCTTTACACAGAGGGTGGTTTTGGAATCTGGAAATCCCTGCCACTAAGTGTTATTGAATCAGAGTCTGTAAATTGTTTTCAAAGGAATCTGCATGCGTGAAAATGTAGAATTACAAGTGTAGAGTGATACCGCACAGAATCAGTCAAATGTAACCCAATGTCAATCAATCAAATGTCAGTCTAATTAATCGGTTCTGCATAAGATCAAAGCCCAATTGTTTGGTTTGAACAAGTTTTCCAAAACAAGCAGACAGGACCTCAGTTTATCATCTCGTCCAAAGGATGACGTGAACTATGACAATGACAAAGGACAATTAAGGGTACCCCCACAGTACTGCATTGAACTGTCAGTCTAACAGCAGCAGGCCTTTTGACCGGTATTTATACTCCACACAAGGCCCCCACTCCTTCTGCTCTACTCTCCTACACCCTTCTGTTCCCTTCTCCCCCTTCGTTTGCATCAAACTATTTCCACTGGCAGGAGAGTCAGTGATAAAAGGACATAGTTAAAAGATAATCGCAGGAAGTGCAGAAGGATAGTTTAGGAGAAACTTCTTTACACAGAGAGTTGTTGGGATGTGGGATGCCCTGCCAAGTAAGGTGGTAGAGGCAGAGTCCATTGTGAGTTTCAAGAGAGGAGTAGCCAGGTAATAATAAATAATAATCCTTACATTTGGTGTAGCATCTTTCATGTCAGGAGGACATCACAAAGCACTTCACAGGATATAATAATAATAATCCTTGCATTTGTTTATCTCATTGATTGGACGTCTCAAAGCACTTCAAGACACTGGCTCTACTGTGCACTTTGTGGGCGAAAGGAGATAGAATAAAGTGCACTGATTGCGATTTGTGGGTGAATGTGTGTTACGTGGGTGTATGATAGATAAAGGCTTGAAGAGGTATGCGGATAAAGCAGGGCAGAGGGATTGAATGAATAACTTGCTCTGAGAGCTGGAGTAGACTCAATGGGCTGAAAGGTATCCTTTCTATGATTCTAAGAGAGTTAACTTTCAGGCAAGGACTTAACCGGTGAAAAAAAACTGCTTTAAAGTGCTTGTCAGTGCACTTTCATTGTCATCAACACAAATACTGACAAACTTCTGCACGTATGCTGAGCTTAACGCTAATGAACAATGAGTGAGCTGCTGATAGGATATTCGTATCAATAATAATGAGCTGAGCTTTGCATTTAATGTGTCAGCACAATTTAATCCAAAACAATCAATTCTATTTACTCAATTACAATTGCAAAAACACAAACATTTTCGACTGAATTTTTTTGCGCTTAACTATCTATAATAATAATCCTTGCATTTTATATCGCTTTATCATGTCTATGAGATGTCTCAGTGCGCTTCACAGAATATACTGTAAAGTG